ACCAAAGAAGGTGTTGAATTACTCAAAAAGTTAAAAAGTTAACACTATTCACCAAAAGTCAACAAATACGGCTGCACAACTCTCAATCCTAATTTTCCCTTACAAATCAATTTTTACAATTTTTTATTACACATTTTTTCATAAAAAGTCAAAAAATTAACCCAAACATCCATATTTTCTTCCTCAATTTTTTAGTCCAAAAAGACAAAAAGTGCACTTATTTAGGACCCCCCAAAACGACCCCTAAAACTAATTTTGAAACTATCAATAGTGAATGTACAAGGATCAGAAAGAAATCAATCAGGACATTATGAGAATTTACATCACATAATTATTCGCTGTCTTCTAGTTAAGGGTTCAACACAAGGGTTCAACTTGAAACAAAACAGTAACAGTTTTCCCAACAATGAGGACAAACGTGCAGCCAAGGAAGGTCAGTGTGCAATATCTAAACTATGAGTAGGAATGCCAAGCCCACAAACATCTTATTTTTTACAAGATTTTCAATAGCATTATTTTACCAACCAAAAACGAAAAACCATTTTATCATAACATGAGACATCCATATAAACGTGCTACCAAATTAAATCCTCAAAAGACCTTGCATTCTTAGAACCAATGGGCAACTGGATGCTTTAAATACTAAATGAAAACATACCTTTCGCTTAATGGGTGCCGATGTGCTAACAACAGGTTTAAAGAATGATTCTAATCTGTTTGGGGAGAAAATAAAAATAAAAAATAAAGAAAACAACAGACATTAAAGAAGCATAGTGGAAAAGCATATCTGAACTCATTTTCACTTTTTAAGCATTTCATACCGGCCCTGAGTTGAGTTGTTGATGCAGATTGAATTTTAGAAAATAAGTATTTTTATTTTATTATTTTATTGCTTATGTCCATCATAGTAGTGGTGTCCTTATTTTATTATTTTATTGCTTATATCCACCATAGTAGTATAGATTCGGAACAGAGTAGCAGTTTAGGAAATTGCCTTATATTTTCTTCTATTTTTGGTCGTTGTTTTTCCATTCCAAATCTGGTTGTTTCTTAGTTAGGTCTATAATTTGCTTATAAATATTGGATGTAAGCCTTAGGGCTCTAGAGAGATTTTTGATGATTAATATATTTTGAGTTTTATTACTCTTTGTTCCAACTTTGGTTAATTCTGTGTGAATCAACTTTGGTTGAGCCTTTAAACTCGGTATTCTTGAGGAATCAACGGGTCTAGAGAAGAGTCTTATTTCCGGTATTCTTGTGTGAATCAACAGATCTTAAGATTGTTACTTTTGTTTCGATCAGCACTGCATCACATTCCTTCTCTCGCAATGATACTTCCCCGACTCGAATTAATGATGGTTCTTATACCACTTGTTGAACTAAAATCTCTCTTAAAATTAATTGACATTGTTGGATAAATTCTTCTTTAATTCTTCAGTTGGTGGTCTTCGGGTTTTCGAAAATTGGCGATTACTCTATCTATGTAACAAGTAAAACGGGTGCTTTAGGTCGCGTTACTAAGTCACTTTCCTAAAGGCAATATTTGCATCTACCAATAAGTGTGCAAGGGGTTACAACAAATTTGCATCTAAGATACAATGAAGCCTGATCTAAGAATCAAGTCTACCAGCTTCTGCACCGACGACAGTAGATCATAACACTCTTGATATAATCAAGAGAATTAAGACACTAATAATCAAATCTGCAAAAAAAATGATTATCTGCAAGGAAAACAGAAATTTGCTTAAGAAACTCTTTATCGAAAAATCTAATCAAAAGGGAAAATTGCATGAACGCTTTTAAGAATTTTGGATCATTTAAATGGCTAAATCCGCAGCCTATTTATAGGGGCCTTGATGCATCTAATCGAATGGATATGTCCCTTGATTGCATCCAATTAGATTTGACCATTATATCGATGATCGATGGTGCAAATCAATTACACACCGAACCGATGCATTGATTGATTACACCTAATCACAATCGGGTCCCATTTGATCCGTCCGATCACGCACTTCTCTAATCAACGGCTATGATCAAATTGCTCCATATCAAACACACAACCGTTCGATCTGTTGGCTGACTCATCACCAATGCACACCAACGCCACATCACTGCCATGCAAAGCTGATTGTGTTCCACGTCACCTATGCCACGTCGAATCCACATTATTGCTCCAACCTGTCCAAAGCAAATAGAAAAGCGCCCTCATGGCCCCTTGCACTGATGTGTTCGTTCAAAGTGCAAATGCGCCATCAAAGCGCCACACAGTCCACGCCACGCATGCGTGTGTGGATGGTGCCATCCTTGTGGTGTGAGTGCATGCACACTAACATCCATTCCACAATTCCATATTCAAAGGAATCTTTCATGTAGCATTTTATTAAGTGTTCCATATTTTTCTCTCTTTCCAATGTAGGACAAAGTGCTTGATGCGTAAGTGCCACACAGCCCATGCCACACATGCATGTGCGGATGGTGCCATCCTTGTGGTGTAAATGCATGCAAACTAACATCCATTCCACAATTTCATATTCAAAGGAATATTCTATGTAACACTTTATTTAGTGCTCCATGTTTTCTTCTATTTACAATGTGGGATAAACTCCCCAAGCTTGTTTCTGACTTTCTAAAGAAAAACAAAAAATGTTTTAAAAACACTCAAAAACTAAATTATTATTTTTTAAAACTCTTTTGAAAATTCCCCAACAAATATTAGAGAGGATTTCACTTATGTTTTTTATAGCATTCGATATCGTGTCCCACAACCGTGTTTAGAGCAATAACTGAGAGCGGCATTGTGTACATAACATATAACTTATCTATTGAGTATTTGGCTAAGAGTATGAGATCATTGTGTAATGTCAAAGCAATCCCCTTCGGCATACAAAAATGCAATGGACATGAAAATGTACTCCAAATTTTATAGTGAAGAGTGAGTATATGGTAAGTTAGTAGAATTAGGGCTACACACACCCACAATGAATGTAGTTTATTGATTCACTTCTTTAGATAATTTTCTGAATAAATTTTTTGATTTGTAGTATTGTTGTTCGGCAAATGTGCTCCAAGCAGATTTGGCACTCCTCCTCATCCACACAGTCACTCCCTCCTCAAAAGCAGTACATAATTGCCACATCATATCAGTTATATATATATATATATATAAGGTCATGTATATACGTGTGTTGGAGTTAAGAAGCAAACTATGATACTACCCAAAAATACCAAACTTGCTGCCTAGTTTATTTCATGTTGATTATTGACGAAGTAGTTTTTATTCTCATTCTCTCTTTCTTTTGTACTTTCTAGATCTGTTTTTTTTTTTTTTTTTTTGATTGGCAATGCCACCCAACGAAATTAACAATTGCAAGGGTCAATGACTCAATACAACGATATAATAAAGCATCGAATGATCGCTCTTTATCAAAGCAAAAAACACATTACATCCGCCAGATGTCCAATCTCCTCTAGTTTGATAAACAAGTACTAGATTCTAGATTCTAGAGAGAGAGAGAGATATGAAAGAGACTTCCAAAGAAAAGTTAAGTTGGACCCGTCAAAGCCAATCATTTGAATTGCTTCAGACTCACATTGCTTTGGGCAGAAGAGAGCCTGCCTTGAAGTTTGAGCTCAAATCACAACAATTCATTTAAATAAAATTTAACACTATATATATATATGACTCCATATAACCATTTTTCTTGTTTTCTGGTTTTCGTATTCCTTGTTTGTTTGTTGTTTTTCTTCCTTTGGAAAAAGCAAAGCAAATCAAAGCAAAAACAAAGCAGATGTTTTCGATCTAGCAAGTTTTAGCAGCAGACCCAATACACAACCCTAGTCACTTTATTGTTTATTCCATCTTTCCTTTTCTGTCCCCTCAAATTCGATCTGCTATATATACTACTAATAGGTATCCTTACATTCATTCCCAATCTGTTCACTCTCATTCACTCTTCCTTGATATCTCCCATTCCCATCCTTTTTTTTTAATCACTATTATCCTTGTTTCTCTTTATCACTCCATCTCTGTTCCTTCTATTTAATTAGTCATCAAGTTCATCAGTCCTTCATGGAGGTACAATTTTTTTTTTTTTTTTTCTATGATTTGTTATTTACATGTATAGCAGATGAAGTTAGTAATTCTTTGTTATCATTTTAGATCAGACTTATTTTCCATTAGTTGAGAAAACAGCAATTGAATTTCTAAAGCATGATTCGAATTTCATCAATTGGCAATTCTCTTCTTCTTCTTGTTTTTGGGAACCATTTGTAGCTACCAACTTTATTCTTCTTAATGAGTTCCCTCCAAATGATGAATATACCTTGAAACTCTAATGGAAATCAATTAAAGCACGATGGTTCCATTTTAATTAATTAGTCCTGCCAATTCCTGTTTCTGACAATTAACTCGGTTTTGCTCAGTTGGTCACTTCTGCAGACTCTCAACTGAGAGGCCAAGGGTCAAGATTAATTGTTTCTTCCCTATTATGGATCTTTTTTGGTTGTTTAATTCTTACCCATTATAAGGCTCTTTCTTGTGTTGATGTAGTGGTCGTGAGTATGTGTTTTGGACTTCCAAACGTAGTTGATTGTCCAGATTGATATAATTCTCTTGATATTTGTAAATTATCTCCTACCAATTGTCAAAATAAAAAACAACAATTCATGTTTCTGACAAATTTTTGGATCCATCTTATTTGAGGTTAACTATCATTTTGTTGTCAAAAGGAGGATATATACAAGTCTTTATTAGAACAGAAACAGATATACGTACTATTTCATAATGCAAACTCTCAATCCTGTTTGGCAATGCTTTTTTGCAGACAGTGGAATTGAAGGTAGAGATGGTTGGCATACATGAGAAAAGACTAAGGAAATGCCTCTCCAAATTGAAGGGTATTTCCTCTCTCTCTCTCTCTCTCTCTCTCTCTCTCTCACACACACACACACACACACACACACACACTGGAAATTTGGAATTCAAATTGCAAAATCACAACTTTGACAGTAAGATCAAACTATGATTGTTTGCAGGGATAGAGAAAGTGGAAGTGGAAGCAAATAGCCAGAAGGTAGTGGTGACTGGTTATGCCCATCGGAACAAGATACTGAAAGCAGTGAGAAGAGGCGGTTTGAAAGCTGACTTCTGGTCTCCACAAAACGAGCTCCTTCAAGCATATGCTACTGCTTCTACTGCCACTTATGGAAGCTTAAGATTCAACAACTTCAACTTCTTCTAAATTTTATTTTATTTATTTCCTCTTTTTTTCTTTCTTTTTCCTTACTAATTTTCCTGTTTGGGAGGATATACGTACCTCAATCAAAGGTTGTTTGTGTTTTCATATTTGATTTGATTTTGTTTTTGTTTTGATTCTCTTCTCTCTCTTTACTTTTTCTTTTTACAAAGGAACTGTCACGTGTTCATTGAGATTGAGATATATATAGAAGAGTGAAATGGAAGTCTCTTCCAAGTTTTGCAGCTTTGCCAAGATTTTTGTTGACTCCAGACTCTGTATTATCATTGCATAAGTTTTATGACTAGATTGTGTATTGGGTAATCTTTTTAGTTTTGTTTCTCAAGTTTCAAATAGATTCATAACAAAGTGGTAGACTAGATGGCCGTTCATGCAATCAAAGATTCATAATGAGTACATACACCTACCAAATAATATGATGGCCAAAATACACTCGCAATTCTTATAATTTACTTCTCGTATGGATTTGGTCCTCATAATTCTTAATTGTATCAATTTTATCCTTGGATCTTTCATATGCTGTCAATTTTGTTCAATCTCTTTAGAAATTGAATTGAAATCAAGAAACAAAATAGTCTATTCACTCTCTCTAAAGTAATTGATTAGTTGACCTCTAATTCGAAACGTTTCATTCGTGTTTGAATGGACCATTTTGTCCTTGATTTTTGTCTAATTTCTTAATATATGTTGACAATGAGACTAAATTGATCAGGTTTTAAAAAAAAAAAAATTAAGGGGCAAAAATTATACAGTTGAAACTACATTAATTAAATTGATGCAAGATACAAAATAATGGGATCAACTTGCATCATTTATCAATAATTCATCTCATCTAGAAAGTATAGCCACTTACCATTTTGAACACCATAAGGCTCTGATGTTGATGGAAGCTTGGGGGGATTCCTCTACTTGCTCATCAATCATCATTTGTTCTCTCTTTCCTTCTCCAAAAAAAACAAAGGAGGGCTGCTAGCACCTTTTGCACCGCCACCTGGGGTGAGCGTTGGTGGAGCAGATATGGGTTCCATTTGGATTACTGGTTTTGATTCCTTGCTACCATCTGCGATGAAACTCCCCACAATTACCTACAATGAAGGAAGAAGCCCACCACTAATGGTGCCATTAGATAGAAAGGAAAGCCTATTATAACCCCACAATGCTAGCTTTGAAAATGACTCTGAATTGGAATTTCTCATTATTCCAACTGTGCTACACTTCTGATTTGGAAAACACAACTTTGGGTTGATGGATATTAGACTGCCCAAGGCAACCTATTGCTACTGTGGAGATTTTTCTTCTACATATTACCATTACCTCTGATGACACATCCTAAAAACACAAATCACTTAAAAATTAGTAACAAATTTCTTTGTCAACTCAATTTGACATGAATGGTGAAGCTTTTTATAGGATCACAAGCACAATAAATACTAATTATGAAGACTATAATTCTAATATAAATGAATATGATATCACAGATTAGAGCATGCATACTCTGGTGAGAACACTAGAATATATATATCACACTGGAGACGGGTAGTACTTCCAAATCATCATCCCTCGTATTAATTGATTTTTTTTTTCTTTTTTTTTTTTTTGTCAATTGGTAAGTATGTGTATGCAATTAAGTTTTCACAAGCATTAACATAGATGACATGTGACATAATTAACCAATTATTCTCAGATACAATTAAGTTGAACCCAAATAATGTTGTTATAAAGGTTTAGATGTACTAGTATTCCTTGCAGTTGAAATAGGTGAAAACACTAGGAGCTCATATACTTGGGAAAGTTCCTAACATAGCGAACTTAATATTGACAAAAAGATGTAAGATGGACTCATGTTCTGGGGAGACATTATAAGTAGAACCAGAGAATGAAAGAATCTAATATTTTTTTTCATTACATAAGAAATTATCTTTAGTTAATAATGTACCAAAACTAAATATTTGTTACGCACACACCTCAGCCCCCCCTTAGCATAATTTCTGGTTATGCCCCTGCCTCCATGGCATGCTTGAGATGCCTTGGGGGTTACTGTTGTTTCAAGCTCCTGTGCTCTGGTTGTGTGGACTCCCCGGCCCATCAGACGATTCACCGAGTGTCCCGTGTGATGGAGGGCTGCTAGCACCTGTTCCACCGCCACCCGGGGTGAGCTTTGGTGGAGCAGATAGGGGTTCCATTTGGAGTACTGGCTTTGATTCCTTGCTACCATCTGTGATGAAACTACCCACAATTACCTACAATGAAGGAAGAAGCCCACCATTAACGGTGGCATTAGATAGAAAGGAAAGCCTACTATAACCCCATAATGCTAGCTTTGAAAATAACTATGAATTGGAATTTCTCATTATTCCAACTGCGCTACGCTTCTGATCTGGAAAACACAACTTTGGGTTGTTGGATATTAGACTGCCCAAGGCAACCTATTGTTACTGTTGAGATTTTTCTTCTACATATTACCCCAATTGTAAAAGCTCAAAATAAGGGTTCTAAATCTTGGACATGCCTTCACCAGTACTGATATATTTCATTTGTAAGATGTTGATAGAATATGAAATACGAAATCAACGTGCCCAGTTTCTCATAATATGCAAAGATTTGCCGCAGAAGCAGACAAACCTGGACCGGAGATGCAGCAATTAGAAGCCCTGCAACACCACCACCTAAAACATGTCCATTTGGTCCAGCTAACGGGACACTCAACCCACCAGTTCTGCTCCACTGACCACCTACCTATGTCAGCAGAAATGAACCAGAAAGTGACAGTATATCAAATTGGTCCTGCATAAGAAAAAATTATTAAGACAGACCAATCATTTGGTAAAAAAAATATTTAATGCCTAAATACACAAAATGATGACCATTCGAGGCAGAAAATGAAAAAAATATTTAATGCCTAAATACACAAAATGATGACCATTCGAGGCAGAAAATGTCTGAAGAATCATCATAAATGATAACAAATGGGTTGTGCAGCTGAATAACACATGAATTAAACACCTACACGAAGAGATCACTTCCCAAACAAACTGAAATGGTGCGCCTGACTCCCCTACTGGAATTATTCAATAATAAACAAATAAACAACAATTTATCATTAGTTCTCAAATCAGCTATATTTTCCTATTGAATGTGGCAGTCCTTCAAGTATGGACACTTGAAAAAGAAAAGTAACAATAACAACAAATACATAATTTAGAGCTTAGAGCCACCAATTGCAAATTCAGCATATTTTGTACTTTCAATACATACTTGGACTTCATGAGTCAGGATATTCAATAGAAACTTGTAATAATTTCAAAGAGTAAACAAGTTTGTATTCCGCTGCAAATAATTGCAAAGCAAGGTCAATAACAAAGTGACCAACAATCAAACAAACCTCATATGTTGCAGTTCCACCAGAGGTTGCTGCTTGGCTAAGAGTCACATTGGATATGGTGCCATTTGCAGACAGGATGCAAACAACACTAGGACCATGATGAGAGAATGACATTATCTTTGATGACACATCCTGAAAACACAAATCACTTAAGAATTAGTAACAAATTTCTTCATCAACACAATTTGACATGAACAGTGAGCTTTTTATAGGATCACAAGCACAATAAATACTAATTATGAAGACTAGAATTCTATTAAACATGAATATGATATCACAGATTAGAGCATGCATACTCTGGTAAGAACACTAAAATATATATCACACTGGAGACAGGGTAGAACTTCCAAATCATCATCCCTCGTATTGATAGATATTGATTAACAAGCATCTACTACAACACAGAATACTCTAGTCTTGTTGGTTCATCCCTTGTATTGATTGATATTGATTAACAAGCATCTACTACAACACGCAACAAGGGATTGTATAGAAAGTGCGAAGCATGGACGATTCGAAGAAAGTAGTGTCTGTGTCCTGTCCAACACTCGTCAAACACTTGAGCGCTTAGTTGGGAAGGTTCTTGAGCACTTATTATACTTTGTAAAAGGATCTAAAAAAATCAATACATATATAGATGTTTTAATTATTTTTCCCAAGAATGCTAAAAATCAAAAATTAACACCAGAATAACAATAATAGATGCATTTCTATGTCCAGAACTTCTTAAATGCTTAAAAAGGTAAGTATGTGTATGCAATTAAGTTTTCACAAGCATTAACATAGATGACATGTGACATAATTAACCAATTATACTAAGATATAATTAAGTTGAACCCAAATAATGTTGGTATAAAGCTTTAGATATACTAGTGTTCCTTGCAGTTGAAATAGGGGAAAACACTGGGAGCTCATATAATCGGGAAAGTTCCTAACATAGCGAACTTAATATTGACAAAAAGATGTAAGATGGACTCATGTTCTAGGGAGACATTATAAGTAGAACCAGAGAATGAATGCAGATCCTTGCAACTTAAAACATGACACAGATTTCGTAGAAATCCTGACTTACATTTTATTGTGTGTGATATCCTACTAGATAAATGAAAATGAAAGTAGACTCATTTTGCTTCCTTTTAAGAAGGCACAATTGCATGGACCTAAAGGCTACAACAAATAAATGGCCTTGAAATTCAGTTATGTCAGATGAAACAGTTCGTTCCAGGTGGAACGGGTCGGACTGATCCACGCTCCTCAAGCCTATGTCTGAATGACCAAGCCCACGGGGGAACCTGCACAAAAGTCCAATGGGGAACAGGGAGTCCCCCAGCGAACCCTCCGACGAGCAAGTTAGGAAGAGAAGTGGACTATAGAGATAGACTAGAGATAGAAAAGTTTAACATTTTTCTTGTCTTCAACGTCTGCTTATATCCTCTGAAAATCATTTCGTTGTCCCTTCCGACCTGTCACCTTGGCCGAAAGTTTATGTTGTAGCTTACCTTGTTCAGGGTGCGGGCGTGCTGTCCCGACGGAGAGGGGTTATCGCAATAAATGTTGTAAGGGGCCTCATTAATGGTGATGTGACGTGGCAATAACTTTGCAGATCTTTGTCTACTGATGTGGCTTGCCCTTCTCTCGCCACATGTCTTGATGTCATTGGTTCTTATTGCTATGTGGGGCTTTAGCAGTGTTGGGCTTTAGTATTTGAGATATGTATTGGGTCCTAAACGGTTGTAGCTTACCTTGTTCAGGGTGGGGGCGTGCTGTCCCAACGGAGAGGGGTTATCGCAATAAATGTTGTAAGGGACCTCATTAATGGTGATGTGACGTGGCAATAACTTTGCAGATCTTT